AGAAATACTCTAACAAACGTATTGTTTTTATAACACAATTTAGAATCACACTCAAGTCCTCTTTGACAATGGCAATGTTTCCTTAAAGGCCCCAAATTCTTTAAAACACTCCATTTCTCTCTCCTCTCTCTTTGGGAATCCAATTACGTTGGCATTTTTCCTTGAAGCAAAAATGTGTTTCCCAATGTGTTTTTCAAGGTCACATCTTTATCTCCTTACCAAGACTTACCATCAGCTGCATAAGAAATTCAGTGGGTGCATTGGGATGAGCTTAGAGGGCAAGAATAAATATTACCAGTATGGCAGGCAAAAGATCTAGAGTTCTAGTGCCAGTTCTTACAATAATGAAATATATTTACCACATTTTCTTCATTTCTAAAACATGGTATTTGGTTATACGTATTCCATGGTTCCTCTGACTCTCAAATACTGCGATTTAGACAAATTAGAGATTTCTCAGAAGTTGCCCTTTAGGATGATCAGTCTTCTTGATGGATAAACAAATTGAAACTGAATTGGACATAGGCAGGAGAAAATGGAAGAGGAAGTATTATAAAAACCCAGGTCAAGCTAACCTGGAGAGAGGAGGAAAGAAAATTTCATGGAGCTAGAGAGAACAATTGCAACATACCAACTGGCTGCACGGGATGCAAAGGAGACAAAAGGAAAAGAAATAAACACAAGTCTGAGATGTTAACTGTGGGTGACTAAGGAGTTATTACAATAGTTTGGGAGAAGAAATGAATTGTTAAGGTTTTCTTTAATAAGCCAGCATATTGTACCTGAAGACATATAAGTTTAAACGTCTAGCAGATAGATGGCAGCTCAGAAGAGAAGTTAGGGAAAGATAGAGGTGCGATCGTCTTGATGGACGTGACAAGTAAAGTCATGACATCAAATAACACAGCCAGAGGGGACAGTATCAGGTTGAATGCCCCCCAGAAACAGTTAACATAGGTAAGAATTCAAGGAGTTATTTAGATTCAGCAATTAAATAATTATTGGTGACCACTGATAGAACACAAAACAAAACAAGCTCAACTACTTATATATTCTTACTGCTATGTGTTCTATTTTTTAGAAAACTGTTACATTTTCTTTATGGCCAACTATAATGTCATTTATTGTACACATTTCAAAGATGTTTGAAATACATACACACCTATTGTCTCCTACTCTTACGTCTTGATTAATTTCTCCTCAGATTTTCCTAACATATGCTTTATGTTTTTGACCTTATTATTAAATGCAAAAAGATTGCTGACAGCCTTATCTCCATTATTGATTATATAGAATGTCACAAAGTACTGCACTTAACACTTTTGCTTATTAATAAATTTATTGCTCCAGCAATTTTAAATAATTTGCTCGATGTGGTTTTTAGGCACTTCATTCTAGATCAGGGTTTCTCCATAGCCGCACTACTGACATTTGGATGGTATAATATTTTGTTTTGAGGGCTGCACTGTATGATGTAGAATGTTTAGCAGCGTATCTAGCTTCTACCCACCAGGTGCCAGGAGCACCCCCACCTTCAGTTATGACAAGCAAAAATGTCATGAGACATTGGCAAATATCCCCTGGGAGGCAAAATCACCCCCAACTCCTTGTCCTTTGAAAACAACTCTTTTAGATTGGTGGGGTTCAGGGCACACTATCCCAAAATATGGCACCTTAGCATTTGAGAAAACTGCTGAAGCAGATAGGTCACTCTGTTGC